GAGATAGCCTGAAATTTGAGTCTGTTTCTCTGGGCTCCGGGTCAGGGTTCGGTGCGGATGGAGGAGGTGCGGGCATGAAGGGCACAGGTTCAGATGGAGGGGGTATGGAGCTGGACCTGATTGGTCAGTTTGATGCAGCGGGTTCCAGCTGTAGGCATGCCATTGCAGGCCCGCAATTCCCTTCCACGAAACTGCACTTATAGTGTGGATATTGTAAAGCGCCAAAAAAAAAGTGTTTATTGATGGCGATATTGTAAAGCAAACTACACTTTCTTTTATCTAGTGCTGCTTCTCTGCTTCCCGCATAATAGGCGATTCTGTCTTTTTTGTTGCCTCTTAGGTTGTACATGTCGATCTGCTGCTGCTAGGCGAGAAGTGTTGCGCGAATAGAGGCTTCAGATATTGCACCTTGAGAACGAAGGAATGACTTACACTGCTGCCACTCCTGACCCAGGCTAGCGAGCATAATCGTCACGAACATGTTGTAAGTGTTCGCCGATTTTCTTAAAATGGTCTCACGGTGTTATGGGGTAGTTTACCCTAAACAGTGCCCCCAACCCAATCCCATCCTTAATTTTATCCAATCATTTGTGAATTTCCTAGATTTCCCATCCGCCACGTGACACTCTAGTCTTCTTGCTTCACAATTCCCTGTCCCACGAACTACTTCCCAACTTCCGCTCTTGCATGCTACCGTATTCTCCGGACAAAACACCCCCCGAAATTGTACACCCCCCGGGTAGCTTGTGTGAGGTGGGTGTTATAGGCGATCTCGTTTGTACTATACCCCCCTTTTTGGGTGATTTTCTACAACCCCCCCCTTTTCTTAAGGGGTCATTATTATAGTCGTTAACGAGTAGGTGCAATACGGAAGAATATCGCGAAAATTTCTCCCTCGATGACATTTCGCAGTACTTTCACTTACAATCTGCCGAGATTTCCCCCCTCCCACTATTTCGTTGTCGCCACGTGCTCCCCCGAATCTTCCGTTGCAAGTGGCCAGAGAGGTGCCACATGGCATTTTCGTAGGGGTGATAAGTGTCAGAATCACTAGGCAAGAATGAATGAACTAGCAGAAGTTTGGGTACAAATATGAAACCCTAGTTGGGGTTGTACCCCATATTGGCTACCCCACTACAGCCTACAAGCATAATACAGTTTAACACACCCCCATAGGCAAAGTGGGGGAGAACAAAGGGTCACAAGACCAGTCCAGCAAAGCAAAGCAAAGCCCAGGGTGGATCACAACGTCACCACACTCCGAGCACAAGTAAAGGCCACAAGGCCAGTTCACATGCAGTGCTAGATATAGTACAAGACAAGCAACACAGTGATCAAAACCTAGCAAGTAAGCAACAAGATATATATAAAGTACAGTACAAAGAATGTCAAGCAGTGAGCAAGTGAGGAAACGTGGACACAAGGCCTAAAGAAGTACAGTGCCGCTGATGATCACTAGGCGGGAGCGCCTTGGTGAAGATATCAGCAGTGTTGGCCTTCGAGTCCACGTACACAAGCCGAAGCTGACCGCGCTGCTGAAGCTCTCGAGCAAGAAAGTAGCGAAGAGCAATGTGCTTCGTCCTGTGCTCCAGTCTGTGCTCCTGACACAAGGCAAGAGCCGCCTTGTTGTCACCGTACAGAACTGGAGGAGAACTAGGCCGCTCTCCCAAGTCAGTCAGCAGGTAGGTGAGCCAGCGTAACTCCTGTGCAGCCATGGCTGTGGCGTAGATCTCAGCCTCACAACTAGAGCCAAGAACAGAGGAAGAGCGGGTGGACCGCCACGAGACAGAACCAGAGCCAAGGCTGAAGGTGTAACCCTGTGACGACCGCTGCGTAGCCAGGTCGTCCACCCAAGAGGCGTCCGAGTGACCAGTGAGGACAACTCTGTCGCGTCCTCCAAGCACCAGCCCCATGCCTGATGTACTGCACAGGTACCGCAGCACCCTCTTAGCAGCCTCCCAGTGCTCTCGCCTGTGTCTCCCAGGCGCAACGTAACGAGCAAGGATGCTAAGAGGGTACGCGAGGTCAGGTCGCGTGCAAGTCATCAGGTACATGAGGCAGCCTACAAGCTCTGGGTACGGGCCACTCGGCTCTACGGACTCGTCCGAAGGTGGAGCTGAGAGCGAGTGGCTGGTAGCCAGAGGTGTGGCCTGTGGTGAGGAGAACTGGAAGCCGAAGCGCTGAAGGACCTGCTGCACCATGTGTGACTGAGTCAGGGTGATGGTGCGACGGGCTCTGTCCCGGGTGATCTGCAAGCCAAGGTAGCTACGCAGTTCACCCAGGTCAGTGCAGGTGTGTCTCTTCTGCAGCTCCGACTTCACACGAGCGAGTGCCTCAGTGTCAGCAGTAGCAAAGACCAAGTCGTCGACGTACACGAGGATGTAGAACGGCGGCAGCGACGTGTCAGTGCGCAGAAACAGCGACGGGTCAGCAGTAGACGGCGCGAACCCAAGAGCCGCAAGAGTAGTCCTCAGTGTGTCGTGCCACTCACGTGGCGCCTGGCGGAGACCGTAGACTGGCCGGCGGAGACTCCACTGGGTACCAGGGGGAAACGACCCAGTAAAGCCAGGTGGGCGGCGCAGCCAGATCTCCTCGTGCAGGCTGCCCTGCAGGAACGCTGTGCTGAAGTCAAGAGAGTGAAGCTCGTAGTCACGCTGAGCAGCAACGTGCAGCAGAACCCGAAGAGTGGTCATCTTCGGGGTGGGGGAGAAGGTCTGGAAGAAGTCGACCCCCTGACGCTGACTGAAGCCTCTAGCAACGTAACGAGCCTTGAAGACAGGCGGAGAACCTGGCGGCCGCTTCACCCTGAAAATCCACATGCCATCGACGATGTTCGCCCCAGGAGGGGGAACCTCGTCGACGTAGGTGCCTGTGGACTTCCAGGATGCCATCTCTGCGTCCATGGCTGTCTGCCACTGAGAGGAGTAGGGACCCGAGATCGCCTCTGCGTAAGTGCGCGGAGTGGGGATGTCTAGTGCATCCGGGTCTCCCTCAGGGGCAAGCAACCAGGCCACGAGATGAGGTACAGCAGCCGCAAGAGAGTCAAAGTCCTCCTGCCTGTCCTCAAGGACGTCCGTGCCAAGAGCACACTCACCCCCGACGGACGGAGGACAGACAGACGCAGACTCTGACTCAGCGACAAGGCTAGCAGCGTAGTCTAGACGACAGGCAGCAGCAAAGTCAACCAACTCAGCGACCAGAGCAGACGCAGCCGAGGACTCAAAGGTGGGGTCAGTGACAACAGTAGCAAGGAGACGCGTGACTGTAGGGTGCTCAGCGCGATACCGGTCAGACTCAGGGTCCGGAACGGCAGGCAAAGAGGACGCAGGAGGAGACGGTAGAGGGACACGCCGAGGAGCAGTAGAGGGACGCAGAGTCATGTAGTGAGTGCCTGGGACAGGAGGAGGACGCTCACGACGGACACGACTACCAGTGCGAGCAGGACGAACAGGCGACGCAGGACGAGACTCAGGCTCACGACGCTCTGTAAGACCTCCTGTGGGACCAGTATAAGGAGAGGGAGCAGGGAGAGGCGAGGCAGGCGGTAACTGTGACTGCGGCTGGACAGGCGGAGGACACTCTACGGAGGGAGGAGGACAAGGAGGAGGAGCCTGCCCAAGAACCTGCTGAAGGAGCGGTACGAAGTACGGTCGCGGCCGCGCAGCGTCTCCAGAAGCAGACGGGACTCCAGCGGCCGGGTCCTCAGCACCAGTAGGAGCTCCAGCGTCCGGGTCCACAGCACCAGCAGCAGCTCCACCGGCCGGGTCCCCAGCTCCAGCAGTAGCTCCACCGTCCGACTCCTCAGCACCAGCAGCAGCTCCACCAGGTGGGTCCGCAGCACCAGCAGCAGCGCCACCCCCAGAGTCGGCAGCTCCAACTCCGCTAGCACCGCCAGCGCCAGAGTCCCCAGCTCCAGCAGCTCCAGTCACAGTGCTCCCAGAACAGCCAGTCCCGGCAGCTCCAGTACCCCCAGTACGAGCACCTCCAGGACGAGCAGCTCCAGCACCCCAAACTCCAGCCGAGCCACTAGGACGGCGAAAGCGGCGGACGTACCAGTCGCGAAGCTGCTGCGGTGTGAGAGACTGCTCAGCACCCCGAACCGGAGCACCCCCAGACGCAGTAACCCGAGGCTCCGTAGGCTCAGTAGCAGCACCCCCAGGCTCAGTACCCGCAGGCTCAGCACCCCCAGTCGCAGCACCCCCAGGCGGCAAACTCTCAGGCACAGTACCCTCAGCTCCAGCACCCTCAGTCCCAGCACCTGCAGCCCCAGCACCCCCTGGTCCAGCACCCCCAGGCCCAGCACCCCCAGGCTCAGCACCCCCAGGCTCAGCACTCCCAGCAGCACCACCCGCAGCAGCACCTGAGTCACCTGTGACCTCGACAGGCTCAGCGACGGGAGGAGGGTCTACCTGAGAGACACCTGAAGGAGCAGGACCCTGAGGGGGAAGGGGGTCTACCGGAGGGGGACCAGGAGCAAGGAAAAGCGGCGGGGGAGGGAGGGGGGCAGTGCGGTAGGGGAAGAGACGGTAAAAAGGGACCGACTCGTCAAAGGTGACATCCTGAGAGGCGAAGACCCGGCGCGAGGTGGGGTGGTAAAACTGCCAGCCAGGCGCGTCAGGGACAAAGCCAAGGAAGACACAGGGAAGCGTGCGGGAGGAGAGCTTGTCCGCGGACGTATCGCGGACAAGGGCA